ATCATTTCATTGGTACTGTTATATAACCCACCATTGCTGATATCTGTAATACAACTGATCCCACTTGCAATTTCTTTGTTTCTGGGTCTTTGTTGACACTATTAAAACAAACACAAACGCACAATTTGAATTCATCATTTATTACAACTGGATAACAAATTATTGACATCAGTCATCTTTGGATGTTTTTAAACGTTAAAATGACTGGTATAGTCTTGAGCTGCATTATAAAGAATCAATACCTGATTAACTCTTTGTAGATTAATTTGGCAGTGTCCAAATATGGTGTGACCGTATCTTCATACTGAAAAAATCTATCATTAGTGCTGAGGTACTGATCAATATTTCACTCACACTCTGATTTGCACGTTTTACTGGAGTAAATAAAACTTACCTGACAGACTTCTCCACCAAGACACAGATGTTTAAATATCAAAAACAATAATTCTTGTCTGTCATCTTCACTAAATATTGGATAAAGCTCTGATTCCTCGAGAAGTAGKACCTCATTAAATGGTTGAAAAAACAATTAGATATATATATTATATATATCCTGTATAAATTACACAGCAAAAATGTAGTCTACTTAATATAAAGCTATGTTCAATTGAAAAACATGCACTCAGTAGAAGATTTATTAGACTGGTGTCCTGTAAAAAACTAGAACTCAAAACATAATACTTCAATTATGACTATTCTCTAAATTCRAATGCAAGCTGGCTAAGCCTATTATTGGCTATTGCCCATGTTTTCTATTCTAGGAAAGAGACTATAATTCCTGCTCGTATTGCAGGTACTTGCAAGTGATTTTGTTATCTATAATAACTGTATTATATATTATGTAATCTTACCTTTCTGAGTTCATCTGAAATAATGAAATCTTCATAAAACTCATCAAAACACTTCTTGATTGCACCACTTTCTCTGACAACACCTGTTACACATGGATAAGAAAGGATTTTCTAAACAGGCATTATTGACAAACTTTATTAAATAAAAAGAAACTACCAAAGTCAATCAGATATTGCTGCACCAACTATGTTAATATTTACCTTTATGATATAATCTGTCAAAGAAATCCATTGATGTTACCGTACATGGTACTTGCTCAGCAAGTGTTTGAC